CCCCGCACGTGAGAGGCGAGGCGGGGTGAGCTCAGGGGGAAGGAAAAGGTGGATTTCCGCTGTGGATACTCCGAATAGTCCGCTATGGAGCTGTCTGGTTCCAGAGAGCASAACCGGGGTCACAAACACGCGTTCCCACCCCACCTCCTTGCCCTTTCTCCAGGTCACTGTGCGCTTACTTTATACTGTTTGATTTAATTTTTTTTTTTGAGTCTGAGACAGCATGGTCTGTTAAAACACAAACCTCAACTTTACAGTATTTATTTCTAACTCAAGTTTGAAAATGACATTCAAGCAGGGAATGTGTTTCAGCAATGTATACAAACACCTGGGATTTGGCATCTCATTCAGATTCACCTGAGGACATGAAAGCCAAGGCTGTTCTGTGAAAGATACTTGTACAAGTAACACTTTGCACTTAGACACACACACATAACGTGATTTGAACGAGGAGTTGCAGGAGATGCTCAGGCATTTTCTGCAAGTTCATTTCAGCGTGTATTTACTGTGCTATTTTGTGCTTGAAATTATAAGAAAAGGGGGAACAACTTTTTACATAGGCGGATAGTGATAAGACGAGGGGGAAYGGTTTGAAATTAAAGAGGAGAGACTTGGATTAGATATAAGGWGGAAATTCTTCCCTGTGAGGGTGGGRAGGCCCTGGCACAGGTTGCCCAGAGAAGCTGTGGCTGYTCCATCCCTGGAAATGTTCAAGGCCAGGTTGGATGGGGYTKGGAACAAYCTGGGATGGTGGAAGGTGTCTGTGCCCATGGCAGGGGGTGGAACAAGAYAAACTTTAAGGTTCCTTCCAACCCAAACYATCCTGGGATTCTATGACATTATAATTAAAAATAGGAAAGATAAAATTAGGAAAGGAACAAGACTTTTAAAGATGAAAGTTCAATCAGCAATTTTGAGAAGCATGGAACACTTAACAACTTGAGCTTTAAATTGTGATTAAAATTAAAGCTTGTAAAAATTTAAAATAACTGATTCGGAGGACATTGAATTATCTTAGGAAGTGAGATAAAAAGCACCCTGTCATCAAAATGAGTTTGTGTCTAAAACTGAAATTGATGAAATAAGTCTTGTCATAAAATATAACTATTTTTAAAAATAATGATCTGGTAATTTTTAACTTGGCAATAAATGGATCTTCACTGTTATTTAGGTTTGTTTGTAMAATTAGAATTTATCCAGTGAGCTTCTTAGTGTATCTGATGCTTAGAGGTTCTGAGTACTTATAGTTTTGTTGTGTATCAGGTCTGTGAATAGGTGGTACCACCCTGCACAGCCCATGTGGAATGGCCAGGATGAATCCCAAAATGAGACTGCGCTGTTGTGCCTTACATATCTTCTTCTCTACTAACTAAATCAGCAAGTTTTGTACTCAAAAAAATACCACCCTGTTTGTCTGACTTTGCAATCTCTTCCTGTAAGAAAAAAACCCACCAAACCAAACCAAGTCAAAAAACACAAAGTGGAGAAAGCTCTGTGGAGCTGGACTTTCAACTGAAAGTTCTTTCCTTTCTAAGTTTATCTATTTATATCTGCTTTCTTTATACAATTTTTCAAGAAACTTGGGGAAGGCTTGAACCTGTACATTTTTCTGAAGATTCCTTCAGCTGGAACTAGAAAATTAAAATAWAAAAGCCAGAGAAAGATGAAAACACCATTGGAACCTGAGACAGGAAGGAATGGTACAACTCTATAGCAAGTTAGTTTTGTGATCCTAAGTCCTTAATACACACACTAAATAAGATCTAAGCACTAAGCAGCTTTGAGGATGTTTCCTTACCATGTCTCTCTAGTCAGCAACTGCAAATAATAAAACACTGAAGAGTGATTAGTTCTGTGCATCAATTGCACTAAATTAGTTGTCTACAGATCCAGGCTGAGGAATTACTGATGCAGCAAATGACATCTGGACAAAGAATTGTGCTGAGAAACTATGCTTACAAAATTTCAAACATAATTTAGTTGCCTAAAAATGCAAGTCCTTGTGCTAGCAGTGTTAATTAGAGAGTATAAAAAGGATCCAAGGGAGTTATCACTAATAGATCACAGATACACACACACAAATACAAGTRCAGCTGATTCTTTCAAAGATTAAAATATCATACACAAACCTTTTCATATTTATTTTTCCAGAAAAGGCTGTAGCCTAAGAAATGGTAAATTGGATAGATCCTGAACTTTAAAAATACTACTGTGGTAAAGAGCATTGGAGCAAAGAGAAAATTACATCCTCAGGTGCCATTGCAGAGTCCAAATCCAGRGTGAATTTCCAAGGAAGTTTGCAACTCAAACCTATTGTACACATGCATAGAGTGTTCTTCTCACAGGCAGCAAGAATGAGTGGAAATGCATCTGCCACAACTCAGGATTTGACAGAATTCATGTTTTCCCTGTGCAGGACCTGTTTGCACTGGGCCTGCAAGCGGAACCACGCGGCGGTCGTGGCTTACCTGCTGCATGCTGGGGCTGACAAGGACATCCTGACCAAGAAAGGGGAGAGGCCAGCCCAGTTAACCTCCAAGAGAGAGATCAGGAAGATGCTGGGAGGTAATCTATAGTGACTGYGCCATGTGATCATCAAATATTGGTAAAAGGGTGTTCAAAGCATGTGTGCTCCGCTCTTTGTTTTGCATGTGGAGATTTGTGTTTGGATTTTAGTATTAGGACTTGATTTCTAGAGTGCTTACTTGGTAAGAAAACAAAGTTTAAGTAAAGGGGTTTACCAATAAATTCCATACCCAGCTAGCCTAACACTTTTCTAAATACTGAAAATTTAGAAAAGCTGTATTTTGAGGAATGCCACGTGCCAGGCAGATGCAACTTCCAGTTTTCAGGACAGCAGGAGAGAAATCTCTCGAATTTGTAGAAATGAGCAACCCTTGTATGAGCAACACTTAATTTTCCTGATGTTGTGTGTTGGCTAAATTGAAAATTAGCAGCCCAGATAAACAACTCATTAAAGGACATGGGTAGAGCATCTGTATCTTGCTTTGTAACTGCTGGAGCAGAGCAGGCTTTGCTGCTGGAGGTGATAGGTAATTTGAAATGTGGTCCATTAACAACCTCTTGTCTCCCCTTTGTGCTCCTGTGTCTGGTTTTGTTTTCATTGTTGTCTCTCCCAGCTGTKGAATGGGTAATGCTGTGGCTCTTCCAGTACTGCATGTTCTTTTCCCTTTATCCCCTGCCTTAATATCAAACAACATATGACCCTTTGTTTGTTGTGTCCTGATACATTATGAAGATGACAGCATTATTCCACCAGCCTTACAATGTGCTGCTACAGATTAAAACAAACCAAAACAGAAGTGTTGCAGTGTTTAGAAGGAATTAGCACCCCCAGAATTATCCAAGTCAGATTTTGTGTTTGTATGGCATTCTGTTTATTGTAGAAAAAAAAGACACGGTGCTTCCTGATTCATCTTTTTACTTCTGATGCTTTTAACTCTCTACTCCCTCTGCGTAAGAAAAAGAAAAAATGAGAAGAAAGAAACCCAAAAGCAGCCTTGGAGAATGTTGTTTTRTTTGTTTTACAGTGGAAGATGATGAGCTCCCGGACTCAAAGCAAGATTCAGATCTGCCCATCATCCCCAACTACCTGGCTAACCCACCTTTCCCATATGTTTACAACACCTCGAGTGGCAGTATCCCAGATCCCACCCCGAATGGGAATCTCTGTCACTTGGAGCCACAGGACACCAACTCTCCACCTGTACCTGACTCAGACACCTACAGACAGGCACCGTTACAGCCCGGGAACGCTGCTCCCGAGGCAGCTCCCAACRGGGACATCCCAGCCCTGCTCCGAGGCTCTGCTGGGCCACCACACCCAAATCCTCTCCTCCAGAGAGCTCCTGTTTACCAGGGAGCAGTGTCTTGGGGCAGAAGCCCCTCTTTGTCAGCAGGATCCAACCAGTCCCTCCCCCAGCAAGGGAATGGTTCCTCCATGGGGCCTGTGCCAGCCTTTCAGCCCGTTTTCTTCACTGGAGCTTTTCCACTCAACATGCAAGGTAATACCAAAAATCTCCTCTGGCTGTGTTTTGATCTTCTGTCACCTTGGGCAGTCAATAATCATGTTATTCCAGGGACTTCCAGGTTCCCATGCTTAGGCATTCAGGAACCATTTGAASGGAATGAAGTAGGCAAATATCCTGCTTCTGCTGGAACTGTTATTAAAATATTGATGTAAACATTTGCTGTTTGTCTCAATTGCTATAAAAGCATACAGACACCAGGATAATTTAATTCTCTAAATAGCATAGTCCAGGCTGCAAACACAGATCATGAGCAAGCAGCCAGTGAGCTCAAGAGAACCTYGTATGGCTCAGTCTGCACTGAGCTGTTCTAGGATCTGCCAGTTCTGCAGGGAAACTTTGCCTGTCCACAGAGGGAAACCTGGAATTTAAGTTTTCATTCAGAATTTCATTCTTGAAATAAGATATTCTGATACCATGGTTATCAATGAGAATTGAACTGATGGAAGTGAGAAATACCAGTAAAAGCAATCTTGGATTGCTCAGGAAACTGATAACCAGTATAAACAATGGTTAAATCAGCTTAAATCAATTAAAGTGAGTATTCATGCAATGGTTCAGACATGCACACATATAGTGCATTACATTTGCTATGATTTTTTCATACWGGTTGATGAAAATCAACCTAGTGAAAGCTGTGGTTATACAATTYCAGGTTTTGCTTTCTGAGGATTCARKTATTGTTACCAGTGACACAAACAAGGTTAATAGTACATAGAAATATTTGGAAATTGTTCTATAGATATAGTTACAAATTGCTTTATACCTCTGCCTATTAATGTGCCTTTTTATTTCTAATAGAACTGGTGCTTAAAGTGAGAATACAAAACCCTAATCTTAGAGAAAATGACTTCATTGAAATTGAACTGGACAGACAAGAATTGACCTACAAGGAGCTGCTCCGAGTGAGTTGCAATGAGCTGGGTGTGAACCCCGAGCATGTCCAGAAGATAAGAAAATTACCCAATACAATGTTAAGAAAGGTAAGAACTCTTCAATTTGAAGTGCAGTAGGAGATTTTTAGGTTATTCTTGTAAAGGAATAATTTGTTGGTCACCTGCAGAGGCCCATGGTGGGAAAAAAACCCCAAAAACCAAATGGGAAAAACCTCCCTTCAACTTGCAACAGTCAGTAATTGTTTGGGATTTGTTAAGTAAAAAGGTTCTCACATTTCTTGATCACCTTCTTCCACAACSATTTGGTGCTGAACCCAGTTAATACCTAATTTTATGACTACATTGTAAAGTTCTGTGCAGCACAACACCCCTGTGAGCTGCCAACAGCATTTAAAAGGCCTGCAGAGCTCAAGCTCTGTGAGTTCAGCAAGACCTGGCTGCAGTCCTTACCCCAACAGAGGTGTTCCAGGCTTTCTCTGAGTGCAGGAGGATAACTGTCCTTCCTTCAGGGACACTTACCCTGCAGCCAGCAGAGAAAGGACCTGCTGACCTGTTTTRCCAACTCACCACTGACCATTCTTTCACTCTCAAATCCTTGTAGAGCATTGTTGGCGTCACTCGTGGGACAAATCTGATTAGGAATAGATTAATAGGCTTCACTGCAGCATCTTCACTGACTRCAGGGTGACTTACTCTGTGGTAGTCAAGAAGTGGAGAAAAAAAAAGATAYAAGCAATTCACTTCCCAGCTTTGGTTATGGTTGAAAGGACTTTTTATTTCCATCTCYAATCACTTCAGGCTCTCTGGTAAGACTGCAGGACCCCGACTGTTCCTGCAGTGACACAAAACTGATTCTGTGTACTGCAGTTGGCAGCAGAGCACTGCTGCAGGGGCTCAGAGCTGGGTCACTCTGGAGCAAGCCACAGGCAAGACCTTCTTGGGTAGATGCAAAAATCAATTCATCAGCTTCCAAGAATTAGCCAGGAAAAAAAAAAAAAAGAGGATTTGGGTGGCATGCTGTAGCTCTTGACAAGTGTAATTCCACTAATCACTTGCACTCACCATCAGTGTTGCATTCCTTCTAAAAATAGAGTTCAGGGAGTAGCTGAATAAGATCCCAGAGTAAATACAAGATGCAACAGGARATGTGCTTTCCTGTTTGCTGTAAAGAACTGTCATATTTATGAATAAAYACATACCTTGTGTCAGTATGAGCTTGCTATTTTAACTTACCTCTGCAGAATTAACAGATGCTATTACCTAACTCCTTATTGTATTTGTTTAAAGGACAAGGATGTTGCAAGGCTACAGGATTTCCAAGAACTGGAGCTTGTTCTAACAGTAAGCGACAAAAACTTGCTTTTCAGAGTCCCAACACTTTCTGAACAAAGTGGATATAACAAGAAGGCATCAGAACTTACATACTAATTAGGGAATAAAACAAAGGATTTGTAGCTCTGGTTATACAATTACATTGGAAAAATAGTATCTATAAGGGCTAATGATGTGAAAAAAATCTATTTTATTAACCTTGAAATAAACTAAAGTGGTTATGCACAGTTACAGCTTCTAGTTAATCTAAGAATAGTGAGACTGGTATGAAAGTAGCTCAGTGCACAGAAAGTACTGGTAGAACTATCTGTTAATGCAACACTTCCTTACAAAAAGATAATCTTGAAATACTGCAGAGTTAGCAGCTCTCAGGGAAAGGCTTACCTTAAGCTGTTCTAATAATTTGTTTGCTATAAAACAGCAGAGGTATCCAAGCTAAAGAACCTGCCATGAAGCCCATTTAATATTTGTACTGAATCCATTACCATTGATGTTCTCTTTTTAGATCATGTTTATTAAGTCCTATCTTACTTAGTAGTTAAAAAACCAGAAGGGTTTAAATCTGTGGAAGCACAAAACTATGTCAAGTTTAAATCCTATCAAGTGACTTATTACCTGTGATTTCTTGATCCCTGTTTACACTTTTCCCTATTTCTCAGGTTAAAAAAAATAATAGTAATTACCCAAATAATAAATATGCTCTCAACCAAAATCCCTTTTATTGTTGTCTGTCAATATATACATRTGCAATTGACATGTATTGACATGTGCAATTTAAAATCCTGTGTTTGTTACTGTATTGACATTTCTTCAATGCTGCTTTAATTTCCCCTTTTAAAAGCACAAAAAGTGTAATTTTGTTTTCCTTTGACCTCTCCATTCCTGAGAAAAATTGCATCTTGAACCCATAAAGTTGCCTRTGTAAAAAGAAACTAGTGAATTGCCCAGGGTTTTCTGGGCTGATATCAAATCTTGATGCTCCTATGCAATGTATTTTCTCTTTTTCCCTGTGACTTGTGTTTACCCAAGTTGTTTACTGAAAAAAAAAAAAATCACAGTTACTTAAAATTCAGAATTTGACTACTTTGTTGTGAAATTCTGGAATAAAGAAATTGAAAAGTATTTCAGAGCTGGATTTTATCTGATTTTTTAAGGATTTTAGTATTCAGTCACTTGTGTTTGAGGAAGAATTCTATGCTGGTAGCCTGAATGAAAAGTGAGTGCTGTGGCTTAGATGAACTGAGGTATAAGATGTATAGCTGAATTTTCCTATTTCATCTCCTGTCCTTCTTTGGAAAATGCAGCTGCCAAGGAATTTGTCCTGTGTGAGAGTTCAGAGCCTGAGCAGGGTGTGCAGTGTCCRTGGGGCAGTCCTGGGCTGAGCTCCTGTGCCTGGAGCTGGGGACCAAGCACAGTCCCCTCCTGTCCTGGGGGCTGCAGAGGTGAGGGACCGCAGCCACCTGTGTCACTGCCTGTGTCACTGCCTTTGTCACTGCCAATCCAGTGTCCCCGAAGAGCCCGGATCGCTGGAAGTGCTCYGAGCACAGGGGCTGAGCACACCAGAGGGAGCTCCCATCCCGCTGTCAGCCGCCAGCACAGATCCTGCAAACACCCGAAATTCTCTGAGCAGTCACCACACTGAGCCTCAGCCTCCCCAGCTGAATACAGAAGGTTTTGTCACACCAAAAGAGCCCCTTTTGCACAGTGCCAGAGGTCAAACAGCCCCAWTTTTTATTGCCAATATCTCCTTTTATAGCAGATTGCTGGCGGAATATTAAGTTCTGTGTAATGGAATAATAAAATCGTGGTTCCTCACATCACCGTGGCTGCTGCCTTCTCCCCAGCAGGCAGCACAGGATGGTTCAGGCATTGGCTAAATGCAGGAGGATTCAGGATTAACCTGTCAGATCCCCTAGAGAAAAGCTCAGCTGTTGGGCAGCAGCCTTGCACGGATGCTGATCCCTATCTGTGCATTCCCAGGAATATTTTTATACCTTGTGCAGTTTATACCAGGAAGATACTATTAACACTCCCCAATTCCATCAGTGTAACCACTGCATTCTGTGTGTGATAAATAATTCATTACTTTGTGCCCTGCCACATGAAATGTTAATGCCTAATAAATGCTTGGCTGCAGATTTGTGTTTCTATTTCAGAAGTATAATTTGTAAGAATTAATAAATGATTATTTTTGTCTTCTCTAAGTTTTTCTGCACTTTTCTTCTGGGAAAACACAGGAACTTTTTCTTGCTGGRTGGTTTTCTGGAGTGCTTAGTTTAAGAAGCAAACAAAGCAAAAGAGGTTCTAGCAGACTCTAGCAGTAAATGCTCTTTGAACACTTCTTTTGTCTGAGGAGGCCTGGTTATCAATAATAAAATAGGTAATTATTTCTGCAGAACAAATCACCCATTATTTCAGGTGTTGAAGTGTTGGACRGGATAAACTAAATACACACCTGCTCAGCCTGCACGTTCAGCTTGAGTGGAGACTTCCTCAGAGTGACTTCCTACCCAGAAACTTTCAGCAAAATTCTGATACTTCTGTGCCAATCGTGTCCCTGTGGGCTTGTGTGGAGTCTACYGAATTGGAAAAAAACTCTGTAGGAAATTATTTATATGAAGTCATTTGTAGRTTTAGCTTTAAATACATGTTCTTTCTTATGCTGAAGAGGAATTATGCCAAAACTGCAGGGATCCCAAAGGTTTCAGGACTCCCTTGCCTTGGGGGAAATATTAAAAGGAACAGGTTGGAGCTACTCAGACATTACAGTGTTTCACTATTATTCAGCTGAGTCACAGCTTAACTGGGCCTGTCTTTCCCCTTCAAATCCCACAAATCCTTATGCAGAAAACACACAAACCAGGTGTATTTTGTACCATTAATATAATTTACTAATTACAAACCTGAATTCAGTACATAATTGCCTTGTGGTACATACATTTTCTTGGCAGAACGTCATTCTTTGGGAAAAAAGCATATAATAAAATACTTTATGTATATAGAAAATATTTAAAAATATAAAATTCACTTTCTGGTCCTTGTAATTGTAAAATACTTTGTTCACATATCACAAGTTGAGTTTACTACAAAAAATGTTTTGCAAATTACAGTACATTCACAAGTCACTTTTGTGGCAAGTCAGTAATATTTAAAAAAAAAAAAATCAAACTAAAACCCCAAGGGGTCTTCTCTTCATGCCAGTCCAGCATCTTTGGCCATACTGTAGAAAATACCCTTTGCTGCTATAAGGTTTGCAGGTGTGTCAAATTCAGCTATGGTCCCGTTGTCCAGAACAAGAACCCTGTGCAAAACAAAAAATGGTGGTGGGGGGAAGATGTGTCAGAATTCCTTGCAAGGAACGTGATACCTGTGTGTGTCACAAAGAAAACTGCTCTCATCTTTGCCTTGCCTTTTTTTCCCTCAATTATTTTCACATGTAAAACAAAACAGATGATAAACATTCTAATAAACAGATGATAAACATTCCCTGAGCTGCTGCTTGACTAAAGAAGGTACAGGGCAGGCACTGYCTCCCAGGGGCAGTAAGAGGGGAAAAAAACCATCTGGAATTGAAACTACAGTTCCAGAAAGCCAAGGAGATAAAAGCTCATGAGGAATACTAATATATTTTCAAGTAATTAATGTGACATGCTGTTAGAGAAGAAGTTACAGCAGCTGCTGGTTTGACAAGGCTCTGTGAGCTTCCTGACAGTGCCAGGAGTGCCCTGGGCAGTGTCCCCTGCACAGCTCTGGTTACTGATTACAGAACCTGTGAGGCAAAGCAGGGCTGGATATTCTGGGATGGAATGGTTTAAACATCACTGCTTACATGCTGTGTGATGAGAGCATCAGTGTTCATGTGCAGGGACAAACCAGACCCCTCCAGGTGCTGCTTCCCATCCCCAGCACACCCCCCAGCCCCCCCAAACAGCGCTCAGATTTCACCTGGTGTAATCCATGATGGTGTTGAGCCTGTGTGCGATGGTCAGCACCGTGCAGCCCTCAAACTGTGTCCGGATGGTCATCTGGATCAGGTCATCYGTCTCCAGGTCGATGGCAGCCGTGGCTTCGTCCAGGATCAGGACCCTGCTCTTGCGCAGGAGGGCTCTGGCCAGGCACACCAGCTGCCTCTGGCCCACGCTGCAAGCACAGACAGCTTTTCACTGCCCCAGCTCCCCACTGCTCACAGCCACTCCTGCTCAGCTGCAGTTTCCCAAAAAACCCCGGAATATTTGGCGAGCAGCCTGTTGTGTCAGCTCACACACGCACAGGCTGCAGYGTGCCAACAGTGACGGTGACAGGGTCACTCACTGCCTCACCCTGTGCTGGCACAGCCACCAAATGTGCCTTTTATCACCGTGACAAAAAACAGGGCAGCTAATGGTGACAACGTTCCTGCCAAAGTTTTCAGAAACACAGTTCTGACAACACTGAGTATGTGCAAATTTAGGAAAAAAAAAAATTAAAAGAAAAAAAAAGTTATGAGGCTGCAAGTCCTTTCTACCATTAAAAAAAATAAAATATATATACATATATCTGAGCAACCCAGACTTCCTCCCCTGCCACAAGCACAGCCCAGACTCAGTCTCAGAGTGTCTGCGGGGTGAGGAAGGAGCTGAACATCCATCACAGACAATCTGGTGACACCACAGCCTCAGAAGCCAATGAAGCATATCAAAACATGGMATTTTATCATCCCCAGTCATGTCTTCATGGGCCTTCCAAATAWTAATGGAAAATAAACATTGCTGAAAGTGTCAGTGAGGCAGAGGACTCTTACTCAGCACAGCAGTTACGAGATCATGGCATTTCCCTTCCTACCAAAAAGTGTTTAAGGGATTGCCTGTCCCTAAAACCATCATTCTGAAATTTCTTTCTGACAAGAYGGGATTTGGGTTTGGGAGAAGAATYRGAKCATTTGTGGCAAAGGCAGAACAGAAGGCAATTGTTTGAACCTTGGTGGCTCTCTTGGGACAGAAAGAGGTGGCTGAATCATTTCAGACGTGACAGACTGGTGCCAGCTTGTGCTCAGGTGTCACCCACTGCCACAATGACAGCTCGGTGGATGTTCCAGCCCTCCTTACCTGAGATTCTCTCCACCCTCTGAGCACTCGTAGTCCAACATGGATGGCTGACTGCTGACAAACCTCTTCAAATGGGACAGCTCAAGAGCTTTCCATATTTCTTCATCTGAATACTTATTAAAGGGATCCAGGTTCATCCTCAGTGTTCCAGAAAAGAGAACAGGATCCTGGATATAAACCAAATTTTCATTAGACAAGTGCTTGAGCTGTTTTAAGTCCAAATACTATGAGCTGCTGCTCTGAGGTCTGCATTGAATTGCAGGCAGGCCCCCTGCCAGTGCCATCCTCTCTGAAAATACAGCACATTATACACAGTTCAAACTCAACTTCCAGCTCTAAAGATGGTTTATCCTAAATCTTGTTCCACCACCCAGCTTAGGTGGCAGGATAGGACCAGGTAAAGTATAAACAGTTTGTTTTTCTGGAACAATTTTCTRAGTGTAACAAAACATTTTCCTCTTYGKATAAACCATTATTTATGGTTTGTTAAGCTGCTAGAAAACATTCCTTCATTGTGACACACAGAAACAGCACCTGAGGAATAATTGTTAGCCTTGATCGAAGGTCATGGAGACCAATTTCTGAAATTTTCACGCCATCAATTTTAATTTCTCCYTTTACAGCTTCCAGGATCCTAAAGAGACAGAGCGTCATGGAGGACTTCCCTGCTCCGGTTCTGCCAACGATTCCAATCTACAACAAATTGCAGGTTTAACARCAAAACATATCGTTAAGAAGAAAACAACACCCAACAAAAAACTCCCAAACAACCCTCCAAGACTCCTCAAAAGGTTTGACTGAAGATCTAAATCAAAGAAAGAATGTGCCATCCTTCCCTAGAAACCCTGAGTCACACACTGTAATATGCCATTAGTGTAATTGGAATGATACTCCATAAAAACATGTCATAAATATCATAAATAACACAGGCCTAGAGCTATCCTACATAACTTTGGGTGGTTTGCAACATCCATGGCAGGTCCAGCCACTCAAGGATCAAGGAAATGAAGGTTCTCAAAGGGCAATTCATGGTAAGCATGTGTACCTCCATGGCAGAAGGATGCAGCTTAGAATAAGGYTAATTCTCTTTCTTACCAACAGCCTGTTCAGGGAAGGACTTTCCCATGCTAATTGTTCTGTCACCAGCAGGCAAACCCTAGAACTTTCCATCAAACCACAAAGAAATGAACTTCCCAGAATAAAGACAATTTCCTGATTAAGGAAGCAAAGAATATCACTTCCACACCAAAAATTTCACAGGGAAAGTCAGAGAGCAGAAAAAGCTGGAATTCCTTCTCCCAYCTGCACTGCTTCGGAAAAGCATTCYCATCAGTGAGYTTTTGTCACTTGYKCYSRTGCCYCMYRTRKGRGGCACKRGMACYTGTTGCCCAATATTTGGGGAAGTCCAGAAAGTCCCATGCACTTCACCCCACTGCTTCCAGGCAGGAGGATTCTGGCACAGGGACAGCACAGCTGTCACTGCTGGACACTGTCCCCCTGCACTGCTGTCAGTGTCCCTGCAACCCCCTCCTCTACCCCACAGCAAAGCTCTGGCCAGGATATTCCTCTGGGAACTCACCTTCTCCCCGCCGTGCACTTGGAGGTTCAGACCCTTCAGCACCAGATCCAGGCCCTTCCTGTACCTCACTGAGTAATTCACAAACTCCAGCTCTCCCTTGGATGGCCAATCTGCTGGGGGACTCTTGCCCTCAATGGTCCAGGGAGCCTGAGGAAAACACGAGTWAGAAATGCTTCACAGAGGTATGAGGAAAAAATAATTCGAGCTCAGATGAAAGYGTTTTATCTGATAAATCAAATTTCCGGGATCAGATGAATTTATAATAATGGGGGGAAAACATGGGTTCCTACATATCCCCTATTTGTCTTTGTTGTGAAGTTTACAGAATAAAAAACTCTGAGCACAGAGGGATGAATCCTCAGTGGGTATGAATTTTTCCCTCCAGCTTTAACAGAACGCTGCCAGTTTCCTGCCAGCTCAAGCTCTGGTTTATAACACATATCACACATCTTGTCTAGGCTACCTTTTYCCTTCCTGGTTAAATATTTGATCTCCAGAACCAGCTCTTCTCCATGTCCTAATTCTCAGTATGTACACAGGG